CCTCAACTGTGAAAGTCCTCCGTGAGGGGTGTGGGGTTCCCATCCCACACCAGGCTCCCAGCTCAGGGTTCCAGTGCCAGGAAGAGAAGTCCCCATCACTTCTGGCTGTAGAAACCAATGGGAACTTAGGCTGAGGGAGGTTACGGCTGCTGGAGCCCCAGGCAGTTCCTCTTAAAGGGCCCGCACATGGACTTACCCAGATTTGTGCCCTCTGAGCTTGGAGGCGAGGCAACTTGAAAGGCACCAGAGACATATAGAAAAGAAGTGAGCTGTTTGGCCTCAGGACCAGGGCTGGAGAGGCAGCTTTGTCTCAGACAGATGTGCTGGTGGAGGTGTTTGTTCCTTTGGTGAGCCCTTCCCCGGGTAGCAGCGGGGTGCCATACCCGATCTCCAGCAACCTGGCTTACACTGTCTGCCCTGCCCTGGTGATTCCCTAAGGCCCTGGCCCACCCAACCTTTGGGCCCATCCAAGCTGTTTCCAATCGTTTTACCATAGGATTGGTTTGTCTTGGATCCCTGCTTCAGATTTTCCTAAAATTTCTTGAACAAGCAGCATCTGATCTCAGCAAGCCCATACTTCTCATTAAGTGGCCCCAGGCCTGGCACTAGAAGCAGCCAGCCGTGGTTCGCAACTTGCCTTTTCCTGGGCACCTCCAAGCCCAGCACAAAAAGCAGCCATCTGCAGATCACTTTGTAGCTTATGCTGGGTGGCCCCGGGTGGAACACAGGCAGTGGCTGACCTTGCCCCAGAGCCAGCACACCCAGTGGACAGCTTCAGACCACATCAAAGCATCACCACCCAACAACCTCCACAAGTGACACACTCAGAGAGTAGAATCAGTGGGTACAGAGTCCTGCTAAAGTAAGTCTCGCTCTGTGTGGTGGGCCCTTGCACAGCTGATCCTCCAATGTAGACAGAGGCCAGTTGTCAGTGGGCACAGACAGTCCTTGCAGCTGGTCAGCCTGAGTAAATCTGTCTTATTGACATGCGAACAATAATCAAGACTCAATTACAATAGAAGGGTATACAGTCCACACTAGGGGTGCACCTCAAGGGCTCAGCTGGGATACTCAGGGAGGCTGTGCCACTGGACCCTATAGGACACCTACAAAATCGGCCACCCTATGAAGCATAGGAGACATAGCAACTCTATTTAATACATAGAAACAAACACAGGGAAACAGCCAAAATAAGGAGACAAAGAAACATGGTGAAGGAAACAGACATACAAGTCCAGGAAGCACAGAGAGTCCCAAACAAGATGAACCCCAAGAGGTCCACACCAAGATACATCATCATCAAAATGTCAAAGGTTAAAGACAAAGAGAGAATCTTAAAAGTAGTAAGGAAAATGCAATTCATTATCCTACAAAGGAGCTCCCATAAGACTGTCAAATGATTTCTCAAAAGAAATTTTGCAGGCCAGAAAGGAATGGCAAGAGATATTCAAAGTGATGAAAAGCAATGACCTACAACCAAAATTACTCTATCCTGTAAAGCTATCATTTAGAATCGATGAGCATATCAAGAGTTTACCAGGAAAGAAAAAGCTAAAAGAATTCATCATCACCAAACCAGTATTATATGAAACACTGAAGGGTCTTCTTGAAGAAAAAGTAGAACAAAAACATGAACAATAAAATGGCAATTAATACATATATATCAACAATTGAATCTACAAACAAAATGAGCAAGCAGAACAGAGACTCATAGATACAGAGAACTTTTTGTTGCTTGCCAGATGAGTGGGGGCTGCAGGGATGGGTGAAAAAGATGAAGAAATTAATAAGTACAAATTGGTTGTTAGAATGATGAACCTCAAAGGGAAGTGGGGACAGGAAGAGAGAAACCAAAGAACTTCTATGCATATATGCATAACCAATGGACACAGAAAATAGTGTGGGGAAGGCAGGAGAGGGGCGGGACTGGGGAGGAGGAGGTCAATGGGGAAAATAAGGGAGAACATCTGTAACGCATTCAAGAATAAAGATAAGTTAAAAAAAGAAAAGAAAAGAAAACTCTGGCTTCAGGGGAGTTGGGAAGCTGTTATCACCCAGGTGGCAGATAATGGTGGACTCTACTCAGAATGTTGGAGTGAAGATAAAGAGAGTTAAGAGATAAGTCAATAGATCTTTAAGAGAAAAAAAACAGCCTTGGTCCCTTAGCTCAGTGGTTAGATCCCTGGTCCCAGTTAAGGTCATGTGGGAGGCAACCAATCAATGTGTCTCTCTCACACTGATGTTTCTCTCTCTCTCACTGTCTCTCTCTCTCCCTCCCCCTCTCTTCCTCCCTCCATTCCAGTCTCTCTAGAGACCGATGGAAAAACATCATCAGATGAGGATTAACAAACAAACAAGCAAAAACCAGCAAAAGAGAATTTGATTATTCATAGATATTCTACATGCTGATAAAGGAGGAGAAAAAAGTCTGGCTTTGGCAAGTAAATGGACCAAGCCAACTCACTGAGACAGGAGACTTCAAGGTAGAAGCAGGTTGATTGGGAGGAGGGGGAAGATTGAATTAAAGGTGGCTGGAGGATATGTTGAGTTGAATCTCAGGAGGAGACTAGGCTTAGAAGTTTGGGAATCATCTGCATAGAGGACAGAAGAGAAGAAGATTCAAGATAGAACCCTGGGACAGGTCCACATTGAAGAGAAAGAAGAGCTTCTATTGGAGATTAGATGGGCTTTTGAGAGAGGTAAGAGAAAAATCAAAAGACAGTGGTACCAGGGAAACTCAGGGACCAGAGCTTTCCAGAGGGAGGGAGTGGTCAACAATGTTCAATGCCAGGTGGAAGCATCAGACAAACTAAAATTGAGAACATTCTACAAAATAACTGACCTGTACTCTTCAAGAAGTACAAAGAAAGACAGAAACAGAGATTAAAGGAGACTAAAAGATATGAAAACTCATTTGCAATGCATGATCTAAGATTTTCTTTTGCTATACCTTTTATCATTTTTAATAGTTGCATAATAATAATTATTCATCTCATTCATTTATATTTGAGAGAAAGAGAGAGAGAGAGAGAGAGAGAGAGAAACATCAATTTGTTGTTCCACTTATGCATTCATTGGTTGATTCTTGTATGTGCCCTGCCTGGGTATCCAACCCACAACCCTGACATACTGGGACCATGTTCTAACCAACTGAGCTCCCCGGTCAGGGCTGAGTTTGTCATTTTTCTGCAACAAAAGAATAACTTAATATAATTCTAGACTTTCTCTAATCACAATCTATTATGTTACCTTGAAAGAGTGTTTTTATGAGATGTCACATAAAAAAGGCAAAAATCAAAATTATATACTTTGATTTCTAATGCACTGTCAACAAAAGAATATCCAGCCTATAGAAAAGTTTTATAAGAGTTTATATAAACTAAAATTTTGAGGACATGCCCAGAAACAAAATCTCAACAGATTGAGAAAATGTTCCCGATTATGGCAGTTTTGTAGCTTATTTTATATATTAAAATCAAAAGAGAAGAGGTAAAGAGGGTGACATAAAATCCATTGATGGTAGGTTAAAGGGGTGGTTGACCTAGGATTGGATAAAGAACAAAATGGAGAAACATGTAGTTCTTTTATATTGTTGGGCACAGGATAGTTAACATTTAACATGAACAGTACATAGAGATGGTATTTGGGGAACAAGATAACAATGAAGAGTTTCATGGTCTTGTGCTCTAGTGCCACAGGTTATACCTCCAAGGAGTCTAGAAAAAATATTACACTGACATTTTAAAAGTATGTTATCCTAAATGCATCAGTACAATGCACAGAGCTCACTTAAGATAAAGATTGAACTTTGCTAAGGAGGCTGTAGACCTGGCTGTGACTACCTGCCATGGTTCACCCAGTTAGGAATTTATAATCAGACCATTCTATGTGCTTATTTTCAGTCACCAAGTTTGTAAGGCCTGCCATGTGCCACCCCCATCTCCCAACTTTTCAGGTTTAATATGTAGTCTACTTGTTGTTCATAGCATAAAGCAAGAAGAGAAAATAAAATTTACAGTTGCTGTGTTAGGTTTGTCTGAATGTGAAGGAAAGTTAGTTTTACTTCTTATTGTATCTTTAAATTTGCTTTCAAAAGTTGTCTACATCTCCCAGGATATCTTAGTTCACAGTATCTGGCATGTGATTGGCCAAATCTCAGGTTGTGCTATTTAAAATGGTCACCTCAAATGCAGGACTCCTAATTAATGGGATCTTATCCCAAGGCAGGCATCTACTGGAGATGTCAAATGGGACAATAATCCCCAGTCTCTTCTCTGTGTGCTGCAGTTCTGACAGTCATAAAGAGTTACCTGCATGCAGCATATTACATATTTTCATTCTCACCCACTCAAAGTGGTTCATTGGTTCCTATTCACGGAAAGGTTTTTGTGATCCCCGAGGAGGTATGGAAGGAACCATCAATGTTTCTGTTTCTTTTATTTAAAAATATCATCTTTTTATTGATTTATAGAGAGAGAGAGGGAGAGAGAGAGAAACATGGGCTGCTTTCTGCACATCCCCTACTGAGGATCCAGCATTCAACTTGGGTATGCACCCTGACCAGGAATCCAACCAGTGACCTTGTGATGCATGGAACAATGCTCAACCAACTAAGCCACACCAGCCAGGGCTCTCTCTCATGTCTCTGTCTCTGTCTCTGTCTCTGTCTCATCTCTTTCTCTCCCCCACCCCTACACCTTGGGTGAGGATTTTTAAAAAAGTAAAATATTTTCATTCTCTTTGTTAATTTCTCTCTACTTTTTGTTTCTTAATCTAGACACTCACATTTAAAAAATTTTAAAATACTTTTTCTGTTCCCTTTAGTGTCCACCAAGCCCATTTTACCAATACACCTTCACTAGAAATTGCCCTTAGCCAAGATGGCCGCAGCTACCTTCCATTGCTCTTGCTTGCCCTCAGCAAAGATGGTTCCACTGACTTCCTTTTAAACTCACCTTTCCCTTAACAAACATGGTGCTTCCGCTTCCGGATTTCAGCTTGCTGCTGTTGCCGGATGGTGAGTGTAATTGGCAAGTTTTTGGTCATGTTGTCTGGGTTAATATAAGAATGCCTTGGTACTGGGAGCAGAGAAGGGGGTTCTCGCAATGTTTCAGACCGTTGTCTCACAATTGAGAAGTTATGGCTGCTTCCCCTGGCACACTTCCAATTTCCTGCCTGTCCAGCCCCTCCTCCACCCCAGTGGGCGCGCTCTGCAGCTTCAGAGGCCTTGGCTTTGGGGAATCTCTGGAATTTGCAGGCACTGTGTCCGGATGAGTTTAGGTTCTTCTTCTTATATAAAAAACAGCCTTGTTGAGATATAATTCACATAACATAAAATTTGTCTATTTAAAGGTTTGGTGACATGTAGCTATAGAAAAGTTTTATGAGTTTATTTGAGCCTTTTTTTTTCTTCTTTTTTTAACCACTAGCTTTTTAAAAATAATGTTTTCAAAACTTGTCCTTGTAGCATGTGTTAGAACTTCATTCTTTTATTGCTGGAAAATACTACATGTATGCATATACTAAGTTTTATTTATCCATTCATTAGCTGATGGACATTTGGATTGTTTTCACTTTTTTAATGTTATGAATAAAGCTGCAATGAATATTTGTGAAAGTTTGTGTGAACACATATTTTTATTTCTTGAGTATATACCTGCAAATGGATCTGCCTGGACAAAATGTAACTCTGTTTATCCTTTGAGACACTGCCACACTGTTTTCCAAAGTGCCTGCACCATTTTACTTTTTTGTATGTGAATATCCATTTATCTCAGTGTTGAAAAGACAGTCTTTTCCACTTAGAATTGTCTTGGCACCCTGTGGAAAAATCAATTGATGAACAGACATTTTTCCATAGAAGACATACAGATGACTAACAGATACATGGAAAGATGCCCAATATCACTAATCATCAGGGAAATGCAAATCAAAATTACAATCAGATATCAGCTCAAACCTATCAGAATGGCTATTACAAAGAAGACAGTAAGTAATAAGTGTTGGTGAGGATGTGAAGAAAAGGGAACCCTCGTGCACTATTGGTGGGAATGTAAAATGGTGTAGTCACTGTGGAAAACAGTATGAAGGTTCCTCAAAAAATTAACGATTCAGCAATTCCACTTCTGGGTATTTATCTGAAGAAAACAAGAACACTAGTTTGGAAAGACATGCCCTATGTTTACTGAAACATTATTTACAATTGCCAAGATACAAAAACAACCTAAGTGTCCAATGATAGATAAATGGATAAAGAACATATGGTATGTATATAGAGTGGACTATTACTCAGCCATAAAAATTAATGAAATCATGCCATTTGTGACAAGCATGGATGGACCTAGAGGGTATTATGCTAAGTGAAATAAGTCAGAGGAAGACAAATAGCATATGATTTCACTTATATGTGGAATCTAAAAAAAATAAAGTAAAACAAAAACAGTAATAGACTCATAGATACAGAGAACAAACTGATGACTGACAAAAGTGTCAGGGGTAGGAAGATTGGAAAATATGTGAAAGGGATTGATAGGTTTATACTTTCAGTTATAAAATAAATAAGTTACCAAGTTGTAATGCAAAGCATAGAGAATATAATCAATAATATTGTAATAACTTTGTGTGGTAGCAGATGACTATAAGACTTAATATGGTGATAATTTCTTGAAGTATATAAATATTGAATTACTATGTTGTACACCTGAAACTAATATAATATTGTATTTAAACTAGACTTCCATTTTAAAAAAGAAAATTAATTGACCATAAATGTAAGATTTTATATCTGGACCTCAATTCTGTTCCATCCATCTATATGTCTAATCTTTTGCCAATATTACACAGTTTTGATTATTGTGGTTTTGCAGTAAGTTTTGAAATTGGAAAGTATGAGTCTTCCAACTTCGTTCTTTTTGGCTATTCAGAGTCTCTTGCATTTCCATATGAATTTTAAAAACAGTTTTGTCAAATGTCTGCCAAAAAAAAAAAAAAAAGGCAACTGAGATTTTGGTAAGAATTGCATTGATCTGGCCCTGACCGGTTTGGCTCAGCGGTTAGAGCGTCGGCCTGCGGTCTGGAGAGACCCGGGTTCGGTTCCCGCTAAGGGCATGTACCTCGGTTGCAGTTTGTCCCCGGTCTATGTTTCTCTCTCTCCCTCTCTTCCTCTCTCTCCCTCCCACTCTATCTGTACAAAAAATGGAAAAATGTCCTCAGGTGAGGATGAAAAAAACAACAAAAAACAAAACAAAAAAGAATTGCATTGATCTGTAGATCAATTTGGGCAATAAAATATTAAGTCTTCCATTCCATGAACATAGGATGTCTTTTCATTCATTTAGATCTTCAGTTTCTTTCAACATTTATTTTGTAGTTTTCAGTGTATATGCCTTACACATTTTTATTAAATATATGCCTAAATATTTTATTTTTTGATGCTATTGAAAAGGGAATTGTTCTTTTCATTTTAATTTAATTTAATTGTTTACTGCTAATGTATATAAATATTTGAATTCTGTAGCTCAATCTCCATCTCCATCTCCAGTTGGACTTCCTTGAGGCTTAGCCTAAGTCTCAGCCCTCTTTGTGTGTGTGTGTGTGTGTGTGTGTGTGTGTCTATATGTATATATGTATATACACGTTTTAAGAACCATTTGAGAGTATGTTGTAGACATCATGTCCTTCTACAAATATGTATTTGAGGGGCATTTCTAAAGAATGAGGACATTCCCCTATATACCAGCTTTTGTTAAAAACAGAAGCAATTTGGGCATGTTGAAAATCTTAGTGTTGGTCTAGTGGAACAGAAGTGAAAGACAGAATTGTTGTCACTAAAGGCTATGGACAGATCCAAAGAGTGACATCTAAGGCCCAGGTTGGTTCCTTGTGATTCACGCTCTTTTAAGAGAGGAATATATACATTTCTGGAGAAGGAAGTTGAACCACACTTCAAGAGTCTGGGGGCAGCCTGGCTGGAGTGGCTCAATTGGTTGAGTGTCATTCTGTGTACCCAAGGGTTTCTGGTTCAATTCCCAGTCAGAGCACATGTGCAAAAGGCAACCTATCAATGTTTCTCTCTCTCTCTGCTTTCCTCTCTCTAAGCATATCCTCGGGTGAGGATCAAAAAAAAAGAAGTTTTAGGGCAAAAGATAAACATTGTATTCTACTTGCCAGCCTATGTGGTTTTTTTTTTTTTATCCTCACCGGAGGACATTTTTCCATTTTTTGTTCAGGTACAGTGGGAGGGAGAGAGAGGAACAGAGAGAGAGAGAGAAACATCGATGTGAAAGGAACATATCGAGTGGCTGCCACCCGCACAACCGACCAGGGCCAGGGACAAACTACAACCGAGGTACATGCCCTTAGCGGGAACCGAACCCGGGTCTCTCAGGACCGCAGGCCGACGCTCTAACCGCTGAGCCAAACCGGCCAGGGCCAGCCTATGTGGTTTAAGACCATAGCAAGAAGTGTCTCTTCTGTCTCTATTACTTGTTTCCCCCTGTACAAATTTGCTGAGTCCCAAATAATGTATTTTACATGCACAGATTCTTATTTTATAATAAAAAGGATTCAGCCTTTCAGTGGGTTTTTTCTTCATTCAAATGCCCAGTTTGAAATGTATTTGACATTTAATATAAGTGATTCTAAAAGAAAAGATAGATATCATATCAATGTGCTATTTGTTCTTTTTGTTTTTTTTAAAGGATCCCTTTTGCCCGGCGGGTGTGGCTTAGTGGTTGAGCATTGACCCATGCACCAAGAGGTCCCCGGTTCAATTCCCAGTCAGGGCACATGCCCAGGAAGTGGGCCAAATCCCCAGTGGGGGGGAATGCAGGAGGCGGCCAACTGATGTTCTCTTTCATCGATATTTCTGTCTTTCTCCCTCTCTCTTCCTCTCTCTAAAATCCATAAAGAAAGAAAAAAATTTTTTTTTTAAAAAAGGATCCTTTTTATTTCACGTTGCTATTGACACCTTTAGTTATGGTTGATTTCAGGCCCCTCTGCAGGCAGACAGGGTGTGCTGATGTCATTCAGTGACCTGTTTGTTCCCTTCCAGAAGACTCCAGAACAGTGTTTAGTAAGTGAGGAGAGAAGGTGGAGCCATTGATAGCCTGCAACAGAAATGTTTGCTGAAACTTCGGGCTTGGTTGGCAAATGTAGCACGTGTGAAAAGACAGGATGTTCTTACTTCTTTGGGAACTTTGATTACTCCACTCTTTTCAGAAGCAATCAGCTGATGTCTTAGTTCACACTCTGCCAGAGTGATTGTTCACAACAGCATGTGACTTGATGTCCTCAAAAGAAGGATCTTGCCAGGTCTCTCTGTTGATTTGTTTTCATCCACCTCCTATCTGTGCCTGATTAGGTCACGGTATGGAGGCTCTGCAGATGTAGGAGACTGGGAAGTCTTGGTGCTGAGTTCATCCTATCTTGGTACTTTCTAGGTGGGTTTCCTTGGGCAAGTTACCCTACCTGTGCCCGGGTCTGACTGTCTGACTTTAAATGAGGGGAATAAATGGATTACCTGCTTCATAGAGCTGTTGCAGATAAAGTTGTTAGTACAATGCCCTGCATACAACAAATACTTGTTATTATACTGTCCATGTTATTCTGAAATTTCTTTTTTCATTTGAAGTTATATCTTTGAGATCTTTCAAGTTCTGACTGTCATTTTAACAGTTGCATAATATTGCCCTGGCTGGTTTGGCTCAGTGGTAGTGCATTGGTCCGCAGACCAGTGAGTCCCGGGTTCGATTCCAGCCAAGGGCATGTACCTCAGTTGCAGTTCATCCCCAAACCTGGGCAGGGTCGTGTGGGAGGCAACTAGTCGATGTGTCCCTCTCACAATGATGTTTCTCTCGCTCTCTCTCTTTCTCTCCCTCTCTCTCTACCTGAAGATAAATAGAAAAATATCCTCAGGTGAGGATTAAAAAAAAATAACAACAACAAAAACAATTGCATAATATTCTATAACTTGGAATATTTTCTCCTCCCAAACTCATTCTTCTCCTATCTTTCCTAATTCAGTTGATAATACAACCCAGGTGCCACTCCTCATTGACTCTCTATTTCTCTTTAGCTCCTTTATCTATTTAGTTATTAAGTTCTACTCTCATTTCCCTTTCTAAATATGTTCTTAATCTGCCTCCTGCTTCTGGCTGGTAGTGCCTTGCCCTCGTTCATATACTCTTCTTTTCTCTCCAGGATCACTGCAGGTGAATGAATTCCTGTTGCTTTTGAGATTGCCTGCCACTGGGTGCAGGCCCTGTAAATCCACCTGCTCCCTAGCTGCCATATCTGACCATGTAACTCCTCTGCATGGCACGTGGTGGCCCATGGCAGTCATGATGCATGGTGTTGTCTATAATAAGATTTATTGATGACAACAACTTATGAGGCAGAGAGTAACAGAGGATCCAGGATCTCCCCAGGCCCATAGTTATTTTACAGAGAGATGGGTAGGGTTGGATGCACTGCAAAGAGCCCTTCCACCCCCACGGCCCTGCCTTAGAGAACCCAGCCCACAGGTGGATATAGATCCAGGAGAGGTAAGGAACAACTCATTTTTAACAAGAAATGGTCAAACACTGAACCTAATAAGCTACTTTTATCGTCCCCAGAGCTCAGCTTAAGAATTTGTATATCCAAGCTGCTGACAGCAGCCAAGCCTTGCTGTCTTTCCCAGACCTGGCACAGGAAGAGGCGAGAGTCCCAACTAAGACCACAGGGTTTGTCCCTCCCCAGTTACACAATGCATGACTGTTCCTTGACTCTCACTTTAAACTCCTGACACCCCATAACACTTGTTGTTGCCCTAGCTGGTTCTGCTGGAGTTCACAGTGTCCCCTGGCCATGGCCTGGCCTGCCTTATGCTTGGGGATAACCTCCTCCAGAAAGCCTGCTGCCCCTTCCTGGGCCCTACTCTGCTTTGTCATTGTGTTAACATGGTATGCTCTTGTGTTTGATCACCCCAAACTGTGAGCAATTTGAAGGAAAGGTCTATCACATTCACCTTTGTATCCCAGGGCCTGTCCTCTGGCCTGACATGTTAAATAACTGGCTGAATGTATGTTTGAGTAGGCCACAGAAGAAAATGAAAATCATCTATAATCTCACTACTGAGAAATTAAACCACTGAATTAGCTATCAGTGAAATTAATTTGGGATATACTCTTCTAGATTTGATTTTTCTAGCTTAGACATATATATTTCACACATATACATCTCATACCTCATATTTGATTTTACAGAATCTGGATTAAACCCTACCTATTGTTTCAAAATTCTTTTCCATTGACTATCTCATGAACAGTTTTTCTTCTCATTTAATATTCTTGTAGTCCTTGAATTATAGTACTGCACAGTATTTCATCCTATCAGACACACACAGCCTATTTTCCAGCTGGATTTATTAATGATTTCTTTCATACTGAGAAGATTTGTTTCTCATGATGAAGAAAATGTGGTAAACAAATACTGAGTCTAGTGGAAAGACAAGGAAGTAAAGACAAATTATTCTGGTTCTACTGTGCTTTGGCTTTTAAGATTCTGAGACGTCAGTCCTTCAGGTTGTGACAGTCTGTGATGGAGGCTCCTCTTTGCAATGCCTTTTGTTTTGATTGCTTTATTTTATTTTATTTATTTTTTTAACTGATTTTTTCAGATAGAGAGAAAGGGAGAGGGGGAGAGAGAAACATCGATCAGCTGCCACCTGCACACCCCCTACCAGGGACTGAGCCTGCAATTCAGGCATGTGCCCTGACTGGGAATCAAAGTGATGACCTCTTGGTGCATAGGATGGTCCTCAACCCATTGAGCCACACCGGCCGGGCTGACTGTTTTATTTTTCCCATGGCAGGACTATGGCAGCTCAGCAAGCCACTCCTGGCAGCCAGTCAGAGGAGAGCAGTACTTTGGAGCTGCCATCGGCTTGTGACATAAGAGATTACATGCTGCGGGAACACAGCCAGGAGGCCCACAGCGAGACTGTTAGCTCTGTAGAAGCCCTTTCCATTCCTTCTTCTTCTGAGGTGGATCCAGGTAAGAAACAGAATTGAAAACAAACTAACATGAAAAAAACAAACAAACAAAAAAACCCTAAGATATATAGGTATGCAGTAGTTTATTTCTCTCTCCCTGTGGAATGATTCATTGGCTCAGGTAGAAAAACATCTCAATAAAACTGGGGAGACACTTCAAAGGACAGCCTCCCTGGTGTAAGCACCACAAAACACTGTTTCCTGGAAGCCTTTTTTTTTTTTTTTGGTCTGAGTATCTTTCTGATCTCTATCCAAATGCATTCAGAGGCAGGAGAACACTGGGTTCAACAGGGAGAGAGTGGAGTTGTTTTTTGGTTTTGATCTCTTAAAAGTTCAGAAAATAGCAGTGTGGGCCAGTTATTTGTTATAGGCAATAGTAATACATACTTTAATTTTCCTCGTAGGAAGGATACTCTGGATTTAGGTAACAACTTTTCTATAAATTTCTCTGACTCAATTACTCAAAAGTATATTATTTAAGCTTAATGATAATTTCTTGACATTGTGACCATCTCTGGTTTGTAAAGCTCATGTCTTCTTCGTTCATTGCTCAGTTCAGACCTGAAGATCCACAGATCTGGATTCAGAGGCTGGTTCTATTTTTCCAGAGATTTTAGTGTGGACTCAGTTTTTAGTTTTTATTGACTATTGAATGAATAATCCACAGGAAAGCAACTATTATTATTATTATTATTATTATTATTTTATCCTCACTCGAGCATATTTTTGCATTTATCTTCAGACAGAGTGGGAGGGAGAGAGGACAAGAGAGAGAGAGAAACATTGACGTGAGAGAGACACATCTAGTGGTTGCCACCCACACGATCCCAACGAGGGCCAGGGACAAACTGCAACCAAGGTACATGCCCTTAGCGGGAACCAAACCCAGGACTCTCTGGTCCGCGGGCCGACGCTCTAACCACTAAGCCAAACCGGCCAGGGTGCAACTGTTATTGTTTTGAATTTGGTTGACAGCTCTAAAAATGAGAAGCATGTTGAAATATTTATGTTGCAGTATTTGTTAATATTATAAACATTTCATGCAAAAAAAGTTCTTTTAGAAACCCTCATAAAGGTCTAAACATGGGAATGCGCACTTAAGTGTTGAGACAAACTATTGCATGGTCTCAATGGTGGTGGTACTGGGTCTGACTGCCTGGCTTGAATTTTGGTTCTGCTTCTTCCTGTGGTTCAACCTTGGGCAAATTACTTGACCTCTCTGTTTTGGTTTCCTCGTTTGTAAAATGGAGATCATGACTCTTACCTTGTTGTGGGGAGGGATAATGAGAATGAGTGTGTATGAGGCATGTGGTAACTGCCATATGGTGGACTCTTGGAAATCCATCTCTTCATAACCTCACAGCATCTGGGTCACTCAACCCACTACCATGCTGACCAGGCTCCCTGTACATGTCTGAGCTCCCACCTCAGTGGACCCCTTGTGCTGCCCTCCTGGGTGACTGTTTTGTACCTTCTCTTCTCTTTGGAAACCCCCATTGCCTCCTCTTTCAGCCCCTCTGATGACGATGAGCTGATGAACTGATGAGCTGATTTTCTGTTTCATTGAGAGACCAGAAACAATCAGAAGAAACGACCACACACACACTGCACATCCACCAGCTTCCTTTCCTCCTGTATCTGAGGAAGACCCATCCCTGTTTTATCCTTCACTTCTGCACTAGATCCTGTTTTCTCTCTCCTACTCAAGGTTATCACTGGCAGTTTTCTGTGTCATCAGATACCCCCCGCCCCCGTCATTCTCATGATCGTGAAAACATGCTATATTTCCCGTCTTTAAAAACATCCACCCTAGACCCCACATTTCCCTCTAGTTATAGAATTGTTTCTTTCTTCTTTCCTACAGAAAAACCCTCAGAGGTGTCATGTATACCTGCTCGCTCCAGTTCTTCTCCTCTCAATTCCTCCTAAAACCCTCCAACGTGGCTTCTGTCTCCATCACTCCATGGAAATAGCTCTTGCCAAGGTCACTAATGGCCTCCACATTATAAGTCCAATGGACACTTTTCAAGCCTCATCCTTCTTGCTCTTCAGCAGCATTCACACAGTTGACCTTTTCCTTCTTGAATTCTTTCCTCACTGGGCTTTTTGGGAAGTAGCCTCTCATGGTGTCTTCTTACTTTACCGTCAGTTTGTTCCCAGTCTCCTTTGCTGGTTTCTCCTTGCCTCTCCAGCCATTTAACATTGGGCAGCCCCAGGGCTGAGTCATCAGTTCTCTTCTCTATTATCATCACTCACTGACTGAATAATCTTCCCAGTTTGGGGACCTTAAATGCCCTCAGTTGCCTGCTTAATCTCAGATTTCTCTCTACAGCTTGGATCTCCAGCTTGACACTTAGACCATGTGCATACTTGACATCATCACTTAGATTTCCATTAGAGTTCTTTTTTAAATGTAATTTTTATTTTTTAATTACTCTGATTTCTTAAATTTGACATATCCTAAACCAAATTACCAATACCTCTACCCCTTCCTCAGTCCCTACCCCTCATATACACATACACACACCTGTTACTTGAGGCTTTTTCATCTCGAAAAAGCACTTCCATCCTTCTGTTCACTTAGACAAAAATCTAGGAGTCATCCTCAACTTCTCTCCTTCCCTTAAACCTCACATCCAGTCCACTGGCAAATCCTGTCAACTCTGCCTTCAGAATAGATCTAGAATCTAAACAGTTTTGCCATCTCCACTGTACCGTCCTGGTCCCAGCCACTATCATCTGTCTTCTGGATTACTGTTACAGTCTCCTAACTGGACTTTTCCACTCCTGCCCTTATCTTCCTACAATCCCTTCTCAACACAGCAGCCAGAAGGATCCTTGTAAAAAGGATCCATGTTAGTCCTTGGTACAAACACCCCCATGGCTTCTCATCTGACTCAGAGCAAGCGCCAGGGTTTTTACCCATGCCCTCTGGGCCCTGGGCATGCCACCTCTCTGATCTCACCTCCTACTGTTCCCCTGCCCCCATCCCTGGCAGAGCTGGGCCCCTGCCACACCAAGTGTGTCCCTCTGCCCTGTGTGTTCACCCTTCTGGGAGGCCCACCCCTGCCTCCTGTGTATAGGAGCCAGCTCCTGCTGACGCTCCTTCATCATATCCTCCCCCAGCTTTGTTCTTCACCACAGATCTAGTGCCAGCCAGCACCTTATGTATTTGACGATTGCGGGAGGAACCCTTGCAGAAGCTAGGTTATAGGACCATGGGCCCAAGCTTAAACCTAACTCTTGTAAAGGTTTCCCCATTTCATGTTACAGTTGCCTCTGGCTCTGGGCCTATCACTGCTTTTCCCAGGCAGGCTTTTTGAAGGGGTTGCCTACACTTCTTTATTCTTATGATTGTTCCTTATTCCTGGGTGTGTGACTAAGCCTTCTCTTGCTCAGATGCCAGTGACCTTTACCAGGAGCTATACCTATAGCTCTACCCTTATCTGTATGCTCACTGCTACATTATTGTTCTTGCCCTGGAGGAGGACATTGGTGGCAAGGGGCATGAGACTTAAGAGCACTTTCTAAGGAACTAATGGGTTGATAAGAATTTGAGAGTATTAGAAAAAGCTTAGAAGCCTTAGTCATTGGTCATTTCAGTCTAGGTACCCAAAGGTAGGTGAGGACAGGCTATATTTGTTTAAATAAACAGAGCTCAGCTGTCCTTAAATGACCAACTAGCCACCTCTCATGACGAGCTGATGGAGTAAACAACTTGTCACCTAAGCCAGGCACAGGATTACGAAACTCCCTCCCTCTGCCCATCCTGCTGAGATAAGGCAGAAGCCCCACACCCCGAGGTCTTTCTGAACACCGTTTCCATCTCAGTCCTCTAAGTGCCTTTGAGATTCACTGTCTACTTCTACTTTCCTGCCAACTCCATCAAAGCTCCTTTCCCTCGTTTTCAGAACTCTGTGGTATCTGGTGTCTGGGTATTTATTCAAAATATTGAACAAACAGTTCAGCAGTACTGCAATATTTTGACAAATGGCAAGGTTGTACAGGTACACGCCAGCTGAATAGAGGACCCTGGTGTTGTCTAACACTCATTAACACAGGCCTGCCACCCCTGTGGGGCCTGTTTTCATGCTGAGTCAGACCTTAATGCCACAGCTGAGCTGTAATGTTCTCCAACTTGAAATGTGCCCCTTTCTCCCCTCTCAACTCCAGTCCACTCAGAGAATGCTGAATTGAATCCATCAATTAGCCTTGAGGGCATAATGTTGATGGACTTGAACTCCCTGCCTCTAAGATGCTTATTTCCTTTCTCTGTTTTTACCGGGCTCAAGGAAAGCATAGAATAAGCAGAATGGAAGCTTCAAGAGAAATGGCAAATGGCTTCGGACGAACCTCTCAAAAGCCAAGTTACAAAGGTTTCCTGGAGGCGCAGTCCTGTGTACATTACGATAGCTTGATAAACTGAGTAGCCCTCAGTAGCTCTAGTGGCATATCTCATCAGGGCCTTCTGAACCTTTGTCCTGGAGAGCACCCAAGATACATACAGGACAAAGAGTTTCCTGGGAGCTGTGCTTACACATTACAATCTGGAGGTGGAAAACCTCGGGCCTTTCCTTAAACTTGAACTTCTGAGGTCAGTGGTTGGAGAAACTGGTTGAATGTATACAGTAGGTTGAATGTTAAACACAATAAGTCTTTGATGATTAAAGGTTCTAGCTGACAGACAACTACAGTCTAATGTAAATAGTGCTTGAATGCCCCTTATTCTTCTTTTGGAATCTGTAAACATCCCAATCTTCAAAGGCCATTTTATAACCTGTGTATTTAGGCATTTCATCCAAGAAATTTGATAGTTAAGAGTAGAATGAATATGTCTTATTTTCTTTTAATGACCATACGATATCTATTTGTATTTCTAGAAAATTCTATTTTTGTAAGAAATTATACGCTCTTAAATCCAAAATCTCAAAATAGAATTTGCACAATTCTGGGTGAGTTGTCATTTTAAATAGGAGTCAGGATATATTTTAGACATGGAAA